TAGCCGCGTGCTATCCGTCACCTCTTAGAAGAACGTTCGCGGTCCTTTGCTCGGTACAAATTGACGGGTCTGATGGAAGATGCCAATGACTTCATCCGCATTCGCAATTTGTGCAAAGCAAGGATCCGAGAGTTCCAGAGAAACCAACAGAACGGCATTTTAGCCAGGGCACGGGTAAACCGGTCAGTCCTGTACAAATTTATGCGACGAATCCGGCAAAGCATCCCATCCGCCCTTGCCCTATCTAAACCCGACGGTACCCTAGCCGCTTCATCTGCAGAAGTGGCGGAAATGTTCCGGTCCCATTTCGACCAAATTTTTAACATCCCATCTCCAATCAATCATCCCAATCTTCATCCCGTAACCTACAGATCCCCGTTAGACCACTTTGTCATAACAGTGTCAGAAGTAGAAGAACAACTAAAACGCGTGAACTCCTTCAGCTCAATGGGTCCGGACAAAATCCACCACCGTATACTGAAAGAATCCGCGGACGTGCTGGCTGCCACATATGTCCAACTCTTCCAAAGGTGCTTGGACACAGGAACCCTTCCACAACAGTGGACTAGGGCTACTGTTATCCCTATTTATAAGAAAGACACGTAGAGTGGTTCTCAGACGGAGCTTGAAAATGTTTTACTTTGTTGTTGTTGTTTGCTTGTTTTGGGTAAGCTGAGAGTCAGCAATAAGGAAAAGGTTTTCGACAGTACTCGTGTCAAAGAGATGCTAGAGGCAAAATAGATCTACTCGAATGCGTCTGATTTCTAATGTCTAGATGCCCAGTTGTTGAAGTCGCGTTGGATAGGGGAGGTCCCTGAATTCAAGGACATAAGCTTAGCTGCCCACTGGAGGCGTTCAAGGCAGTCACGATCTCGGCTGAGATCGGAGTGTGCAACTTGGCTTCCGTACTCTAAAAGAGGACGGATGTAAGTTCATCAAATAAGGGGAAAATCATCCTTTAGAATACATCTTTTTATGAGGTTCAGGAAACAGAAGGTTGCCTTACTGTCCAGATGGTTGTGATAAGAGAAAGACAAATTATTGTTTAGTCAGAAACCAAGAACTTTGTATTGGTCTGCCTGGGGTAAAGTGTGGGAACCTATCCTCGCGCTCCTTCTCCGTTAGGGCAGGAACGTCTTTCTCCAACTCTTCCCCGATGACAATAGTTCTTCACCAGGGATCCGTTCTAGGTCCACTCTTTTTCATTCTATACACAAATGACCTCCCGGGCAAAATCCCAGTCCACACTGCTATCTATGATGACGATGTCACAATCTGGGGGAGTGACACTTCAACATTGCAGGGGGCCATGGATATCACCAAAGTATGGTCATCAGACTGGAGCCTACCAATAAATGATGACAAATGTGTAAGTATGTCCTTTAGCAGGGGCTGCGCGCACACCTCCAATGTGCGCACCACATCCCGACTTCAGACTGTGAACCAGCACAAGATCCTTGGCTTCTGGCTATCTATCTCTCTATCTTTTTCTTGTCACCACCAAAAAGCCCGAATAAAAGGCTTTTGGGGTACTCAACTTTATCAAGCGCTCCTTCCCTCGCTTTGATAAAGAAGACTTTTAACTCTTATATGGCACTTATGTAAGATCGCTATTAGAATACGGAGCCCAAATCGCGTGCTCTGGGCTTTTAAGTGATCGTAACTACATCGAATGAGTTCAGCGAGCAGCCACAATTCTAGTCTCAGGTCTCTCCCATGTTCCATATCCTATCCGTCTCACCACACTGAACCTTTACCCCCTAAACACCCGCCGCATTCGAGCGGACCTTTTTCTTCTTTACCATTTGCTCTCCACAGACAGGGCCAACCAGTTTTTCACACCATGTAGCTTAGTCTGCGGGTCCAGATGAGCTGCACCCAGCAATCCTGCGGCCTATTGCTGACATAATTGCCGGCGCACTGGCCCAGCTTTTTAATCGCTCACTTGCCTCAGCTACGCCGCCGGCGGACTGGACCACGGCGGATATGGTGCCAAACCACGAGGGAGGGTCAAGGGTGGCTGCATTGAACTACCGTCCAGTTAGCCTGCTCTCGGTAGTCCTAAAAACATTGGAGCTTCTTCTCAGGGGGAGGCTGGTGGGATATTTGGACGACCAACATCTCATAGCTGACCAACGGCACGGCTTTATCAACAGAAAGTCGTGCCTCACTAACCTACTATCTTTTTTGGACGAGGTAACATAAATTTTGAATGCAGGGGACCGAGTCGAAGTTTGCTACCTTGATTTCAGGAAAGCCTTTGACTCGGTCAACCACAGGTTCCTTCTGCATAGGCAACAATTAGTGAGGTGGATACGAGCGTACCTACACGAGAGGACGTTCCGTGTAAGGGTGGAACAGGAAACGTCTGAGACGGCAGCAGTCTGTAGTGGGGTATCCCAGAGCTCAGTCCTTGGGCCCATACTATTTGTGCTGTATGTCAATGACGTCATCGAGGTATTCCGGTGTCTCGGGTTCCTATTCGCGGACTACCTCAAAGTAGTACGGAGCCCGGCATTGGGAGACTTACAGGATGCCCTAAATGGAATTGATGGCTGGGCGAACACCTGGGAGCTACCACTCAATGCCAGCAAATGCAGGCACCTGCTGATGAACAGAGGGGCATCGAAGGCACTTTATCTAGGCGCTGGGTCGGTGAAGGCCTTAGAACCCATCGATGCGATCAGGGATCTAGGCGTGCAGATTCACTCGTCCTATAAATCCTCATCGCAATGCGCTGTGGCTGCAGAGAAGGCCAATGGAGCCTTATTCCAACCCTACCGCACAGTAATATACGAGGCTTTTGTGTGATCACACTTGGAGTACTGTGTCCAGGCGTGGGCCCCTCTCTTAGTAAAGGATAAACAACTGCTTGAGTTAGTTCAAANAGTTCAAAGAAGGTTTACTCGGATGATCAGTGAACTGCAGGGCAAGTCTTACAAAGAAAGGTTGGCGGATCTTGACTTATTCTCTCTGTACCGCCGAGGCCTGAGAGAGGACTTGATTGAGTCGTTCAAACTTCTCAAAGGACTGTTAATAGCAAACAGATCCTTGTTTACCCTGAATGTCCATTCAACCCTCAGAGGGCATACGCTGAAGCTGATGAAACCACTGGCCAACGGAAGTGCCAGGGCACAATTTTTCTCTCACCGCGTAGTAAACGCATGGAACAAGCTTCGATCGACAGTAGTAGCAGAATCTAGTGTTCTGCAGTTCAAACGGAGACTAGACAACTGCAGGGACGAAGTGTTCCCAGATTATGACCATGGGACACTTCAAAAGCTGACAAAAAGTTAGTTTTATTTCGTATTCGTCGACGATCTTAGGCTGAAAGTTTCAGAATAGTATTTAGAATGGCTTTTGACAGTTATATGGAAGGTGCAATCCCTAAAGATTTCGTATTAGTAGATTTCCCTTTCGAGAACTCGTTCATTTATATTATTGAATTTTTATTTGATTTTTTAAGTCAAATAATTTTCCCTTTATTGTTTTGGTTGTCTGCTGCCTTATTGAAACTGGCGTTATGTTTAGGGTCTGTCATAGGCGAAATAATTTTTGAGCAACAGTGGTCTCCAGTTGGGATTTTTTCTCATGGCTTGGAGAATGGGAATCAGTCAAATGACTTTGAACTTTTTGAATCAAGCCGCGTTTGGGTGCTGCGCGCTTACCGCCAAGAACATATCCCTGTATCTCGGGTTACCGAATTCAACAAGAACCGGTCTCCCATTCGCTAATCCATTGTCATCCTCGTTCTTCCACCTTCCCAGCCGCAGCACCCTCTTTACCAGGGCATGAGCTGGGATACCTACCAACCTCAGTAGGGCGACCACTCTCTGCCGGAGTTCCCCTACTTTTTGTTGAGCAGATATACAGAATGGTTCAGGGATGCCTTTTATAACCACATTGCGGTTACGTCCCATAGCCAGTTCTGCCTGATTGGCCAAACTACCTACTGCACCTGCCAACTTGTTAGCCGCTTCCTTCACTTCCCTCGCCTGTTCCTGGATGACAACCTTGAGCTTCTGAAGCTTACGGTCCATATAGGCTGTTAAGGCTGTCAATCCTACTGACGGTGCTAATTTACGCCTCTCGTCTCCCTTTACGGTGGCTATTTGGGGTACCACAGGGTCCACACTGCCTGCTTCTTCGCCGAGTGTGACATCAGCCATTTTATTCCGACCCCGCTTTCTTTCCTTATATGCGGGCTCCCTAGGTGACCTGTGGCCTATTGGGGACTTCGGGGGATATATTGCTCGCTCTACACTTACATACCTGCACCCAATTAGGGCAAAACCACTGCAGGAACCTGTATGTTCTGTACAGTTCCCGTGCTTTGGAGCACAGTGTACTACACTCAGCGTGATACCAGGCCTCACAACCATCACACCTGATGCCATTCTGGACATCAAGCCTGCAATCCTCTTTTCCACAGGGGAACTCGACAACTGGAACAGAGCCCCCAGCGTCTGCAGTGATCTGTTTGTGCGTTCTATCCGAGCTAGTTCTTGGCATATTGCGGAATCAAGTGCTAAACAGGAAGAAATAATACTAAGCAAGCGAAAATAAGGCTAAAGTAGTCAGTCAATATGGTACTCGCCAAAACAGTGAATAATGTACCAGAAAATAGATGGCTCACCGATATAAATATATAAATATGCGTAGTCATTCTTCAGAAATGCATCATTCTGATGTTCATGATGACCTTGAATATGAAATTGTGTTGCGCTACAAAAATAAAATATGCCAGTCAACAATTTAGCACTATAATTCGGTTTGACAATCGCTATCACTATGTTTGAACATCTTATTGTGTTTTATATGATTGCATTGTTACTTTGCCTTGAATGCTCTTATTGTGCATTAAAAGCATGTTTTGCGTTGTAATCCGAGAAATGTACTATTATTTTTATCAGTAGTAATAATAGACTTTTTTCTAACACCTTTGGTATTACTTTTCCGGCCGTGGCCTGTAGTGTACCAACGGCCAAGGTTTAGTGTTTAATACTGTATCGTACTCGATTGTAATTCCTGTTTATTGCTGTTATCGTATTTTTCTTATATCATCGCCATACTATAAGTTACTTTTAAAATGCTAACAGGAAATGTCGATTCCGACTCAATTCCTTATAGATCCCAGGACGAAGAAACTCTACCAATGCATATCGTCAACACTACAATCAACACTTCTTCAGTGATCATATTATCACAGAACGAAGCAAGCTTAAGTCTGAAGACGAAAGTGGTCAAACTGGAGGCTGAGCTGGCGGAGGTGAAGGCATTACTCATAAGCCTTTCCCCCTAATTGAAACCAGTAAAAAGTCCCTCAAGATGTCAGACCAAAGTAACTTAGACACTGCCAATGAGCTGTCTGAAACAGAGGCATACAGTAAACGCATGATAATTTGGGAGAAGTTCTCAGCAGGAACACCCCCCAAGCTACAGGGTCAACATAATCCTGGGGAGCCTTAAGTCACTAAAGATCCTGAACCCAATCGTGTTTTCGTATGATCAAACTAAAACCAAGAAAACGACTCCAGGTGTCGTGGTTGAGCGCAGCCAGAGCGCAAGTGTGACACTGGCTCGCTCAGACGAACATAATGAAGAGATGCAAATACGTTACAGGTGTAACCCGCGACATTCCCCTTCATGTCAAATAACTTGGAAAACAACCTGGCAGCGAAAAAGTGGATGAGAAACTGGGTGCGTACCGCAGTCAATCTCACACGACTTCATATTGAGAAGAAATCAATCATCTCCTCAACCAAAGAAGGCAGCAGTCTATCCTTCGCCCCACTAGTCACCAGTCATCCCGACGCCAACTTCGCTGAAATAACCACAGGCGAACCAACGATAATTGGGACACTCAATCTTAAGTTATTATCACCTGTCAAACCAATCCTTGCAACAGAAAAGGAAGTCAAAGGCCCAATCAAGGTGACCACCATACGACCACTAGCTGCAATGAAGGGCCAACTAGGTAATTCACCATCCAAGGCAATCATCTCCTCAGCTCCTACACCGGCGCAACCTTAACCTTACTTCCCCAAAACTAATACCCAACAAGACAATCTTCCTGCACTCAAACTCGTTTTGTTGGCAAGCTACGCTAGGTTACTCCTATAGCGAACGTAAAGACAGGACTGGAAGAAAAGTTCAACAGACCAGCCCCCTTTTCTATCCTAAGTTGACCGCCCTCGTTCACCAGATAGAGAGAAATCCCAAAACACTGGCAAATTCATCTCACCCGTATGAAACGTGAGGCCGAACACATGGCGCTGCCCCACAAGAAGCTCTCACGTGTGACCGGCCGCCTCGGAAAGAAAGGGTCGAAACAGTCCCCCTACAAAACTACCCCACGATCCCTACCATCCTACTAGGCCTGCTGAAATACAAAGTAAGTGGGTGCTAAAGTGCATATCACCCGAATACCTCGGTCTTACTGATCAAATCCTTGAACTGAGACAAAAGGCTCTTGATGAGGAGTCACATGTACTAGCTTTAACTGGGACGTGACTCTATCACTATATATTAGATGTTGAAATAACGATAGATGGCTACACCCTGCACAGACAGGAATCTAACCAGGGACACGCGGTTAGGGTGGCTCTCTTCCCTAATGAAGCCTTCCCACTTGCTTTGCGAGCATCCCATTCTATCGTCCAATGAATTAAAACCCTATGGGTGAACATTGTCTTCCCGACCAGAGACTCTCCTCTCTCACCTTATAGTCCTGGGTGACTTCAATGCCCCGGGTATAGATTGGCCCAGAAGTCACTCTAGAGACAGAAAGTTTGGTGAACTCATTATAAATATCTTCATTGAGCATTCGCGGCACCAACATGTAGCATCTCCTACAAGATATCGTGTAGGTCAAAGTCCCTTCTTGCTTTATCTTGTGGTTACCAATGGAAGACACCAGATGGGCACGATTTCCTATCATTAATAAAAATGACCACCTTTTCCTTTCCTTTGACTACATCATCCAAAATCCCACTTGCAGAATTCTACGATCATTCAAAAAGGATGATTTCATACTGTTATGGAAATTCCTTACCAATATATTGGGCAACAGCAATGTTGATACTGACCCGATCAAAGTAAATGAGTTGTTGGAATGTCTAATTCATGAAGCGGATTACTTTACATCCCGAGGGTTCGAATTGCAGCCAATCCTAGGCCCACCTGCCCCGCCCCATCCAGCATCTAATGTACGAGCGGACGTGCTTCTTCGCTTGGATGACGCTGAGTTCAAGTGAATCCACAACCTACGCAAGCACAGACTTACAGAATTTTTCAATAGGCAACAAGAAGCAACTCTTCTCCTTGCTCGAAACAACCCGGATTCGTTATTTTGAGTACTTCTCCGTAAAAGACAGCCAACTTCTTCAGCTCTAACCTTTGGACGGCTCTCCTGTAACCTCCTCCGATTAGGTTGCTAAAATCTTCCGTTCTTATTATGAATACACCTTCAAGTTTACCCCCATTTCTTTGCACTCCAGCCTTGTCCTTCCTAATGCCCTCCTCCCTTAGAACAATTCATCATCCTTCCTAGGGAGACTAAAAGCCTCCTCAAATCGTTGAGTCCTGATAGCTCAATAGGACCAAACGACATAAACCTTGGCATTCTAAAAGAAGCTGCCTCGGTCCTCAGCCCTTACTGTACCACTCTTTTCCAAAATATCTTGAGGATAGAATATTTCTTAAATCCTGGAGGAGAGGCATCATATCACCACAGTTTAAACAACGAGACCGGCACATCCCTGGCAGCTAAAGGTCAATCAGCGTGCCCAGTAAGATCTTCGAGCGGATTATAAAACGAGTTATTCTGACACATATTAGTCAACGAACTTCTTTCCCCATTACAACACGGCTTCCTCCTGGGCAGATCCTGCATCTCCAATATGCTGCCGGTCATGGACAGTCTAACTCAAGCCCATGACGACGGCTTGATTTTCCATGCAATCTTCATTGACTTTGAAAAAGCTTTTGATCGGGTCCCACAAGCTCGTCCACTCCATAAACTGGAAGCCTACGGCCTTACTGGCATACTCCTTGTCCTAATTCGGGACTTGTCAATTAGTGTAGGTTCATTGCTCTCACTTGCTTCTTCCATTTCCACCGGAGAACCTTACGGCTCCGTTCTTGGCCCTCTACTCTACCTTTTATATTTTAATGATTTGCCGCATAGGATCGGAGTAAATGCTCGCAATTTGCGCTGACGATGTGACAATCTGGGGCACTAACCTTAAGGCTGTTCATTGAGAAATGGATGCGGTCAAAGACTAGTCTGCGGACTGGAACATTCTGATGAACGACGATAAATGCGTCAGCATGTATTTTGGGACGGTCCCAGTAAACGCGTTTAAGTCTAACGCTTCCTCAACCATGAACAGTGCAGAACATCAAAAAGTCCTTGGTTTCTGGCTGACCAGATCACTCTCGTTCTTTTATCACCAGCAAAAGCAGTAAACCGGCCTTCCGTATCCAGAATTTCCCAAGACGTTCTTTCCCCAGAATAGATAAAGATGACTTTCAGATCCTCCGCAGCACGTACATCAGACTATTATTAGAATACGGGAGTCAGATTGCTCACTCCAGTTTGGTGAGCTACTGTACGGCCCTCGAGCATGTGTACCGGAGACCGATAATACTTGTGCATGACTTGTCTTTCATCTTTTACTCTACACGCCTTTCCGTCAAGAATCTGTATCCCATCGAAACCCGCCGGATAAGAGGTGACATCTCCCTTCTGTACAATCTCTTTAAGTCTGGTAGGTTTGATGACTTCTTTTTGCGTACAGCATAAAACTCTTCAAACTGCGCTTCCGTACCCTGGTCCGACAGTGCTGTTTCACCCACAAGGTCATTCCTTTTTGGAATAACCTACCCAAGAAGTAGGTAATGCCCGAAAAATCCGCCTTCATGCGGAGACTAGACTTCTATGTTAGCCTACGCCTTGGACGGTAATCCTCTGTTGGTGTTAATAATGCTTTGAAACTTTTATTGAATTTGGTTGTCTTGGCAGATTTGAAGTTATGTTGATTGTGAAAAGTTCAGTAGCCTCGGTGGGATTGGAACCCAGGCATGGATGCCGCCTACGCTTTGTACGCGCACGCTCTACCAACTAAGCTACGAAGCCACGCCGACAGCACTGACCTTTTATTAAATT